TGCTTTATGTGAATTTTGTGTGTTTTAAAACATGAAAGCAGCTGAATCATGATAGCTGAATTAAAAGAAAAAGAGAATTCAGTCAATATTCTAATCAGGAAATTCAAGAAATTAAAATTCTTGTTTCCTAAATATTCCAATGAACCAGGGTGTATATGCATTTATATTATGGACATTGATCAGAAAGTTCTTAACTGACAGTTCCACTTAACAATAAAATAATGATAGATTTCTCCAAATGTCTTAATAATATAGTCTTGTAGATGGGATGAAGGATAAGGCAGATGTTTGAAATAAGCTTTCTGTATTATGAACAGCATCAATACAGGTATGTTTGTGTGGCTCTTCTGAATAACTCTGCAGTCATTTGATCATTCCTACTACATTCATATGTTTTAAAATGTGTACCTTTTACAGAGTAGATGAGGCAGTGCTGTGCTCTGCTCTGAAACTGGTACAGATGATGCTGTAAATGAGGCTGTAATTTACTTTCAGTGGTATAAAGGAAAAAAAAAAAATCACTTTGCCTAAAGTGTATGCATCTTTCTTAAGGGTGTACCCAGATTTTAATTATCTAAATGTAAATACTTAACGAATTTTACTTAGAGTAATGAGCTAAAGTGCACACTACATAAATGAGATGTTCTAATTAATCATGTATGAACTACTGGTTTAAAGAAAAGCTATGTGAATTCTGTGAATGTTGGGCTATTGCCAAATTGCTAATCAGCATTTGTATTCATAGATGGCTTCACTTAATAAGTTGTGAGACATTCAGCAAATGTTTTAGGAAATTATGAGTTTTTAGATACAGAAACTTTTGCTTTTAACCCCTTTTTTCTCAATGGGCCTTTGGATGCTTCTTAGAAACCAAAGACCCCCATTGTGGTTAAAATTCAGCCAGACAAAATCTAAGAAAGCTAACATCTCAGATGTCATGCACATAAGAGTCCTGAATTATTTACCAAGACTATACCTTGCCATGGGTATGTTATCAAAATGTGTGACTAGGGTTTGTAGGAATTAAGAAATTACACAGCAAGTTAAAAGTGCTTCTTCATTTATCCCAGTACGGCAATTCTTTACCTTCTCAATTATAGAACTTAGACTCTTGAAAATTATTGGAGCCCCTCCCCTGCACCTAGGTGGATTTATCTATCAATATTTATTATAATAGAAACTAAAGCTAGAAAAATTCAAAGTATTTACTAGTTAATTTAAGAACGATACAAGCAATCACATCTTAAGTAAAATAACTTCAAAGTTTTATTTTTAAAAAACCCAAAACCCTCAATTTAGTGAGAAGAATGGCATTGCTTTTACATTTTCACACACTCTCATGCTGGCCATAATAGAAGTCATTTTGATTCTCCGATTCAGCAGTCAATCTGTTGTCATATGTTGAAGTATATGAGGAACATCTGGCCTCACACACATACATCATTGGAAAAGAAAGGAGTATATTAATAACTTTTTCAGAAAATTGTGGATTTAAAAAAATATTATATCAATACTTGACAAGTTGTAGTTTTATACAGGTTAGTTATGAGTTGAAATCTGAAACCACATCAATGAACTTTTTGGGTTCTCCTTTAAAATCTATTGATCTAGTTTGCTCTTGGAATAGATCTTCTACCTGTGCGTGCTTTGTAACGTGATGCATTGATCAGTTGTAAAGTATTGGTTCACTGAATTTGGAGTATCTTCCAAATGTTAATGCATTTCATTATACAGTACTAAAATACATGTATATATTAATATCAACAATGAATTAATCAGAAAGTCTACAGGGAAACTGTCAAGCTCACTGTATGATGCAAGTTTTCCAAAATTCTAATTTCCACTTGAAAACTCAAATTTTATCATGGGCACAAATTCTGCCAGCTATTTTCTTTGACATGAGAGGCTCACTTGGTTCATTTTGAGAAAACATCTGCCAGCTACCCAACTCCAAATAATAATAATTTATCAATGTTGTTTTCAAGTAAAAATGTTGCTGTGAAAAGAGTGACCCAGCTCAGAATGCTTTTTCTTAAGGTAGCTGTCCTTTGGTATGCAATAGAAGTACTTTTTGTGTGCTTCCCATTAAGATTATTAAGACATACTTAAGGGTTGGGATACAAAGATTAATAATTTCCAATATTTCACTAAGGACATTCATAAATGAGTCTTGCCTCTGCATTTATAAATGTGGCGGTGAAGAATAAAAATATAAATATATCCAGGATTATCTAGGATAGTGTTTCCCAAAGGGTTTTCTTAGTTCATTGGCCCATAATACACTCTAGAATTGTGCTGTCTCATAATATACTACTCACAATGTACATAGCTAGCGAGCACTTAAGAGTTAGCCTAATCTGAATGGAGATGTGCTACAGATGTAAAATATGCACTGCTTTCTAAGAGTACAAAAAGGAATGTAAAAATATCTTGATAACATTTTTTGTTTTTAAACACATTGTGTGTTGAAATGTTTTTCATACATACGGTTAAATCAAATACGTTGTTAAAATGATTCTTTGTAGTTTTTGAAATGATGGCTCCTAGAGAATTTAAAACTTTTTGTATGTGCCTTAGTATATATTTCTATTTGATAGCACTGATCTGGAGATTAGAGTTTGAGTGGCCAAATTTTGGTAAAGTTGTATATATCGTTTCTCCTCTATGCATATTGGCATAAAAATACTGAGTAGTACTGTCCTCCCATGCCCAATAAATCTTTTAAAATTTTGGTTAACCCAGCAGTTCCCAAACATACTGTATTTTTGTACCACATGTCAACATTCTATGGAATTAGGTATGAAGCTGTAGATTCGCTAATCCCAGTTTGGAGAAAAATTTTAAGTTTGATTTTCTTCATTTTACTGATATGAAAACTGAAGGTGAATATTGTCAAATTATATAATTTGGAAATTATGTAAACATATCCTCAAAGAAAGTTTAAGAAAAAAAAGTAATATTTCTTGGCTGGGTGACCAGTTGTTTTTCGCTTGGCAGAAGATAATCCAAATTGATAACATAGTGGAAAATTTTACATTTACTTTAAAATATATTGGTTTTCTTAAATATAGAACAAAATCTGGTTTTATTCTAAAGAATTCCATGCTATTTTACTATATTATAACCTTGGACAATAATTATTAACTCTTTTTTAGTTACAGACTATTTGAGAATCTAAAAAGAAAATAAATTGCAGATCCTCACACATCTGTGCACACAAGTGACATACAATTTCCCAGGATACATTTTGCCACAGATATCCTAACCCCTTCCATGGACTGAGGTTAAGAATCCTGTACTCATGGCCCAGGGGCAATGAGCTCCTGGATATGAACCTCCCTCACTCTTAAAAATTATGATGGGAAAGCCCACCCATCCATCTGGGGATGTCTTGGTTGCTTACTGTGTATATTGCACAGTTCTGTATTCTAAGAATCTCATAAGTATAATGTGGGGTCACTACTCATAGGGAATTTAAATTTTCTTAAGATTTGAACATATTTTTTTAAAAAACAACTTGAAATAAATGGTAAGAAGATTCATTTTACCTCACCTTAAAAATATTTATAGAAAAATTCTGTAAAAGCTTCAAGTAAAATACCCAGTGTACTTAAAAGGTTAGTTCTCTAATGAGCAGTTAGAAAAACCACCATGTATTATATGTGAGCAATGTTCAGGATATCTGTAGGGAAGTGGACATGATTATAATTTCAAAATATGTTTTGCCTTGATCAGTGATCATTCTGTCTGCCTATCCTACGGGGGGCGGGGGTTGTGAGATAAAACGCAGAATCTTGCATCCTGTCTATTTTAACAAAAATGCTAGATGTTATTTTTATTCAAGAGTGTAGACTGATGCTTTATTTACCAAGGAAGAGCTGAATTTCAGTGTAGAACCAGTTATACAGTTTTGAGATCTAAAAGAGAGCAAGTGAACTGAAAGAGACAGTGTCCAAGCATTGTTAGCTAAAAAGTTGGGTCCCAAGTCTAATTCTTATTTTCAAATTTTCTATTCTAATTTTCCTGCTGCCCCTACTTAGAAGGGCTGAGCTGCTTTACAGAGGTTGCTTTTATCCACCGGGGCATGAGTGCAGCCGAATTATACTAGGTCATTGGCATGCTTGTCATGTGCTTATTCAATCCTTAGTTCTTGCCTTAGGGGTGTAACTCAGGGGTAGAGATAATGCTTAACACACCTGAGGCCTGGGCACAATCCCTAACTCCTACCTAAACAAGAAAATAGGCCTTCCTCTTTTCTACATATCTTTCTGTTCCTCCTACCCACTCACTGAAATTGCTACATGGTGTTAGTGCTAGAGTTTTCTTGTGCCTAGAATTTCTCCTTGCTTCTACCTTTCAGAAATACTACCCATTCTTTGTAGCCCAACATGACTTCTCCCATGAATTTTCCAGATGAGAACACTCCCTCCTTGGAACGTAGGAAGAAGCCCTTATTAATATCTTCCTGTTACATTATGTACTGATTTCCTTGTGTGAGAATTAGTTTTTTATGTTTTATTTCACTGAAGGCCAGTCTCCATCTTGCTTGTTTCTGTGTCCCTGATATCACTTGGAAAGGTTTGAACTTAATTTTGCAGTAAACATTTGTTGACCAAATGTAAAACACTAGAGGGAGTAGGGAAAAAAAGTGTGTGTGTGTGTGTGTGTGTGTGTGTGTGTGTGTGTGTACACACATAAAATAGTAGCAAGCACCTTCCAGTGGAAAAACCTTACTTTGGAACTAGAACAAGGAGAGTTGGGAAGGGCTGTTGATCAATGTGTCTCCTTTGCATGTCTGGCCACTCAGTTTCAGATCTTCCCGCCCCATCTAACTACATCACCGCTATTTCCCAAGTATCTTTGTTTTATTTATCTTACCCTCTACACAATGGCATTAGTGACTGCAAATTAGGTAGAAATTCAGATAAGTTAATGTCTGGATGTGATAATGTAAAAATATCAGTTTTCTAAGAAGTGTTTTTTTTGGTCCTCCATTACAGGCATGTAATGAGTTCACTACACATGTGATGAACCTTCTCCGAGAACAGAGTAGAACGCGTCCCATTTCCCCAAAAGAGATTGAAAGAATGGTGGGCATCATCCATCGAAAATTTAGTTCCATTCAGATGCAGCTCAAACAAAGCACTTGTGAAGCAGTTATGATTCTAAGATCAAGATTCCTTGATGCCAGGTATGTGAGCCCATAAATTTATTATATGGCTCCCTCTTCACTCTTTGTGTATTGTTTCCTGTAAAGCTGGCTAATGGGTCTTAGGTTCTTTAATTTGGCTGCTGGAGTTCTTCCCTATAGTGCAAAGTTGCCCACCTCAAGGGGCCTGCGCTGTTACATCTTGTCTGGTCATGGGAATGCCATTAGCTGCCAGTTTAGTGACTGGGAAATGCATAGTATTGGTGCTACTGCTAATGACTATAGGAATATGAAGCCTTTTCATTCTGAAGCTGTGTTTTTAAGGATAGTATTCTGCATGAAATGCTACTTTAGCAAAGGCTTGTTTTCCAAGAATTTCTTAATGTTTATGTTGTTTATGCATATTTTATGAAAACACTTGGTGATATTTTGACACTACTAAGAAGTGGTATTGGGGGCTGGGATTGTGGCTCAGTGTTAGTGCGTTTGTCTAGCACACGTGAGGCCCTGGGTTTAACCCTCAGCACCACATTTAAAAAAAAAATAGAAAGGATAAACAAATAAAATAAAGTTACTTAGGAAAAAAAAGTGGTATTAGTAGCATTTGCCAGAAAACCCCAAACTCTGTAAGTTATAATCAGGTAGGAAAGGCTGTAAGTTTCTCCTGTAAATATGAAAATTTTCCTTTTATCTGAAGTTTTCACCAAACTTCACAGGAATTAGATAATAACATTATTTGTGGTAATAAATTATATAGGGTGACTTGCTGAGTGGCAGAAGAATCATCAAGGTCCTGGTACAGACAATCTCTGTAGAGATGCCTGTTGGGCATTGCTATAGCTAATGATCAGTCTTCAGCGTTAGAAAGGAGTTGCTATTTTGTTTTACTTTCTCCCCCTTGGAATCTGACAAGTGATAATTTTCACTCAAATTTCATAATATTAAAGGAAATAACTAAGTATTTCATTTGGAAAATAGTGTGAGGAACAGTCTTCATGCCAGAGCTCTTCCTTAAAGCCAAGTAAGGAGATTCACCACCTAGTAATTCACCATTTTCCTAGTTAGACACAGCTCTGTAGGCCTCTCCTCTCTCCCTCCTTCCTGCTGAATTAGTCACTCAGACTCACCATTGCTTCATTTCAGTCTTTCTCTACTAGCCCTCTCTCTCCCTCTTTCCTCATACTATAGTTCCCGTTCGTCCTTTTGTACCTAGACTTTCACAGACCCTTCTCCTAGTCACCTGTCCCCAGCCTCACTCCCCTCCAGCCCATCCTCCATATTCCTTCTCTGCAATATCACTCTGATAACCTGATGCTTTGTTTAAAACCTTTGATAGCTTGTTGGGGCTGGGGTCATGTGTGTAGCTCAGTGATAGGCCCTGGGTTCAAGCCCAAGCATCAAACAAAGCAAGAGCTTGTCATTATTGGATAACTCACACACATACTTAAGGCCCCTTTGACCTGTCCCTGCCTGAACTGCTTTTTTCTTCTTGTAAGATTTTTTTAACATATATTTTTTTTTTAGTTGCTGACAGACCTTTATTTTATTTATTTATATGCAGTGCTGAGAATCGAACCCAGTGCCTCACACATGCCAGGCAAGTGCACCACCACTGAGCCACAGCCACAGCCCCTTCTTGGAAGATTTTAAGTTGTATTGTTATTATTTTTCTACTTAAAAAAATATCACATTCATTGTGGAAAATTTAGAAAATACATACAATAGAAGAATGAGGGATAAAAGGCAACTATGTTTTTGCCACCTAAAGGAAAAAAAAATCACTATAAATGTTTTAGTGTTCCTTCTAGTTTTTTGTTTTGGGGGCTTTTATGTTTTTGTGATGGTTTAGTATACATAATTTGGTCTACTTCTTAGAAAATTCACCATGAACACATAAACATTTTTCATTGAGTATAAGCTTTAGCTTTAAATACCATTTTATTAGTTAAAGTTTACCAAATGGATATATAATAAATAACTTAATTAGCATTATCTTATTTTTTAGCATTTAAGTTATTGCTATCAGTTTCCATTATAATTTCTTTCTTTCTTTCTTTGATTTCTTTTTGCAAATACTTTTTTTGCAGTCACATCCCCAGCCCTATTTTGTATTTTATTTAGAGACAGGGTCCTACTGAGTGGCTTAATGCCTAACTGTTACTGAGGCTGGCTTTGAACTTGCAATCCTACTGCCTCAGCCTCCCAAGCCACTGGGATTACAGGTGTGCACCACCACACCTGGCTCCACAAGTACTTATTTGTGCTGAGGAAATGATGTTAAACAAGACAGGTTTATGTACATGACCCACTTGAGCCTACATTCTACTTGAGGAAACATAATGATCAAGTAAACAAATATACTCTATATTCTATTCAATAGTATAATGAAGTATAATAGGGTGGTAATGCTGTGAGGAAAGATAAAGGAAGGTACAGAGAATAGTGGAGGGAAGGCTTGGCACTCTTTTAGACAGATATTTATTGAAACTAGTGTGTTAGTGAAAATCTTTATGCAAGATCCCTATTGACCTTTAGAATTTTTTTTACTTAAGGGTGAATTCTTAGTAATGAAATTATTAGGTCAGAATTGAAACATTTTTTAAAATTTTATTTTTGTTATATATGGACACAATACCTTTATGTATTTATTTATTTTATGTGCTGCTGAGGCTTGAACTCGGTGCCTCACATATGCAAGGCAAGCACTATGCCACTGAGCCACAACCCCAGTCCAAGAATTAGAACATTTTTTACTTCCTTTTCTTGGAGTTTTCCATGAACATTTCTTTTCTCTCCTAATAAGCCAGAGTCATTGAAAGCCAAGACTCACACATTTGCATTCCCCACTATTATAGCAAGCACCTTATGTATAATCAGTTGCAGATAAATAATTTATTGACTGACCAGATGAATGGATATTTCCACTTAATACTCTTAATAGTTGAAATCAGAGTTAGAGAGGTAGTGTTAGAAAATAAACAAAAACCATTTCAAATGGTTTGTCAAATTTGAGCATTTAGATAACAAAGATATTAAAAAGTACCTGTGAAAAGAAGAAATTCTTCCTAACACAATTGCTATCCTTAATTCTGCTGATACTTTTCCATTCTTGTCAACATGCATGCTTTTTTTTTGCATAACTGCATTTATAATGTATACACCTAAATTATTTATTTTTCTTCCATGAAGAGAAAGTATGTTAACAGCCTAGATTGAACAGAGCCCTCAGAGAGTGGCAGAGCTTGGAGCAGTCCCTTCTCCCACAGAGACTGCTGTTAGTAACACTGTGATGCTGATGGGCCTCAGCCCTGGGACTGATGGGTCTCTGCACACTGGCCTGAGGCGTAGCCATTTAGAGTGTGGTGAAGCCTGGGGGAATCGAAACTGAGGGGGAAATGTTTAATGGGCATTTTCTACAGGATGTTTTTCTAAAAAATAAATAAGTATAAGACCACATTCTCTCCTATGCCTTCAAGTGAATGTAGATACTGAGCTTTGGTTCTGTGCATTCTTGCAATGCCTCTTAGCAAGCCCTCTACACTGAGAAGGCAGGATTGTTCTGCTTTAGGCAAACATGCTCATTCAGATACATGATTCCTGTGCTCACTCTGCCTTTCTGTAAGGCTGTGCTCATGTTTTCTTGACAATTGGACAAGCTAAAGCATGCACCAAAGCAAAACATTTAAGAATAAATTTGTGTAGGCCCCTTGTTTTTTAAATAGAGGTGCTATAATTTGGACTTGTGAACATGTGGTAAGGTATTCTGTTTTGCCCAGGAATTTGTTCTTGTGTAATATTTTTTTTTATATTTGCTGAAACTTTGCCTAGGCAAAATCTATGTGAAACAGACTTCTCTTTGCTTTCTTGAATAGATTTTTCTTCTCATTCCTCCTTTCACATGTCCCCATTTCCCAAACATATACTTCTATACTCTTGTGTCATCTACTCCCACCAACTCTGGACCTTATTGCTGGGTTCGGTGTTGAGGACTGGGAGTCACAAATTCACCCATTGACATATAGTGAAATTGAGTGAAATGGCTGGGTTGGGGATGTAGTAAGGGATAGAACAGACAGGTGCCTATCTAAGGGGATACCCATCACTCACCTTTAGCCCTCGTCTGCCTTCTAATAATGTGGACCTGGCATGGATGATCTTCCAATTTATCATAAGAAGCCAGAAACCTAGATTTTTATGAGCAGGTCATTACTGTGTTTTCTCAACAAATAGTATGTAATGCCTGCAGGTTTGATCCATTTGAGTCTCTATTCTAGACCTTTTCCACTCTACTTAGTCTGCCCCCAGCTCAGCTGTGTACCTATTTCTTTTTTTTTAATATTTATTTTTTAGTTGTAGTTGGACACAATGCCTTTATTTTACTTATTTTTATGTGGTGCTGGGAATCGAACCCAGGACCTTGCGCATGCTAGGCAAGCTCTCTACCGCTGAGCCACAACTCCTGCCCAGCAGTGTACCTATTTCACGGGCTCCATTTAGGACCTTCTCTTTCTTTCCAATCCGTGCATGATCCATGCAAAAATGCTAATTGCTTTTTTTTCCTAGTGTATTTCTCTTTCTTTCCTTCTTCCCTCATCACTTCCTCCATCCAAGTCTTGATTAAATCCTGTTGATTTTAAGCCCCAAGTGGATCTTGAATCTAATCTTCATCACTCAGGAAACAGTCCTTCTAAAACCTTCTGAAACCTGAGATGTTTTGATCAGACCTAGATTTCTTACTCCCTTGACTCTCCTTGAGTGTTGAAACATGGATTGCATATTTAACCTGCCATTCAAGTGATGTTGTGGTAACTAGAAGAATCTCAGACACTACCCATCTTCATAAGTGTCTCTTCTGAGTGTAGGGTGTCACTATTGAGAAGATAGTTAAGATTATTTGGAAGAAAGTATTAAGAAAATTATCTTGGGAAGGTTATTTTCCAGTTATTGGAGGATCTAATCTAAAGTGAAATCTGACAGATGTTAATTTTCAGGCAGGAATTCTTTAAAATGTTAATAAAAGCAACCAAATATAAAGAGCATTTTTGCTACTTGAAATACGTTGTTAATTAGTACTTGATCTTCTCCCAGCAAAAGCAATTTTTTCCTACTCTTTCATTTCTGAGGAAATTATACCTAAGTCCAGGCAGTTGTTTATGCCTTCTTGGTATGTTTTTTTCCCCTTACCTGACTATTCTTGTTTCCCATACCCACTCCCCCATCCAATTCATCATCAAGTCCTAAAGCTTTTACCCTTCAAATAGATATTTTTTAATGACTTTTAAAAATTAATTCTTTTTAGAAATATGTGGTAGTGGAGTGTATTTTGAGATATTATCTGTGCATATAGTATAACTTATTCTAATTAGGATCCAGTTCTTGTGGTTGTACATGATGTGGAGTTTCACTGGTGGCATATTCATAGGTGAACATAGGAAAGTTAAGTCTGATTCATTCTACTGTCTTTCCTATTCGTATTTCCTCTCTCTTCCCTTCATTTCTTTGTCTTATCCACTGAACTTCTATTCAAATAGATGGTCAAATTGAAGATGAGTTACTATCATCATCCTTGAATGGTCTTTACATTTTCTTTTGTGCCCTCCTCCAATTTTCTTTTTTTCAGAAATAATAAGATCTAAATTTATTACATTTAATTAAGAAAGCCATATAACTAAGATTTATTAGCATATACTTAAGATTAGATAAACTTCTTTTTTAAAATTTATATATGACAGCAGAATGCATTATAATTCTTATTACACATATAGAGCACAATTTTTCATATCTCTGGTTTTATACATAGTATATTCACATCAATTCGTGTCTTCATACATGTACTTTGGATAATAATGTCCATCACATTCCACCATCATTAATAACCCTATGCCCCCTCTCTTCTCCTCCAACCCTTCTGCCCTATCTAGAGTTCGTCTGTTCCTCCCATGCTCCTGCTCCCTATCCCACTATGAATCAGCCTCACATAATCAAAGAAAACGTTCGGCATTTGGCTTTTGGGGATTGGCTGACTTCACTAAGCATTATCTTCTCTAACTCTATCCATTTACCTGCAAATACCATGATTTTATTCTTTTTTATTGCTGAGTAATATTCCATTGTGTATATATGCCACATTTTTTTTTTATCCATTCATCTATTGAAGGGCATCTAGGTTGGTTCCACAGTTTAGCTATTGTGAATTGTGCTGCTATAAACATTGATGTGGTTGTGTCCCTGTTGTATGCTGTTTTTAAGTCCTTTGGGTATAGACTGAGGAGAGGGATAGCTGGGTCAAATGGTGGTTCCATTCCCAATTTTCCAAGAAATCTCCATACTGCTTTCCATATTATCTTTCACCATGCACAAAACTCAACTCAAAATGGATCAAGGACTTGGGAATACAACCAGAGACCCTGCATCTAGTAGAAGAAAAAGTAGGCCCTAATCTCCACCATGTGGGATTAGGCCCCAACTTCCTTAATAAGACCCCTGTGGTGCAATAATTAAAATCAAGAATCAATAAATGGGATGGACTCAAGTTTCTTCTCAGCAAAAGAAACAATCTGTGAGGTGAATAGAGAGCCTATATCTTGGGAGCAAATCTTTACCCCTCACACATCAGATAGAGCACTAATCTCTAGGGTATATAAAGAACTCAAAAAACTAAACACCAGAAAAAAAAAAAAAAAAGCCCAAACAAATAAACAAATAACCCAATCAATAAATGGGCCAGGGGCCTGAAGAGACACTTCTCAGAAGATGATGTACAATCAATCAACAAATACGTGAAAAAAAATGTTCATCATCAATTAGAGAAATGCAAATCAAAACCACTCTAAGATTTCATCTCACTCCAGTCAGAATGGCAGCTATTATGCATACAAACAACAATAGGTGTTGGCAAGGATGTGGGGGAAGAGGTACCCTCCTCCACTTTTCCTTGGTAGTCAGAATAATCTTTTTAAAACATGGAAACTTAAACTTTTAATAGCTTCCTATGATATTTAGACTAAAATCTCCAAATTCTTGTGGAGCCCATTAAACCTCTCTAATCTGCCCCTTCTCACACATTTCCTACCTTTATTTGAGTTCCAGCCTCCTCTAGCCCTTTAGATTCACCAGGTTCTTTTCTGTTTCTGGACCTTTTCCTCTGCCTAGTACTTTTTACTTCTGTTCTCTAACTCCTGTATGTTTCCAGGTCCCAAATTAAATATCACTTCTCAAGGAAATCAGTCCTGACTCCATAGCCTGTGTTTCATTTTTCTATTAAAACACTTTTATGGTACATCATACTCTCCTTCATGATACTTGATTTGGTAACCAAGATTTGTAATTATTTATTCCTGTGATCCTTGTCTAAATTCTTTCTTCCTCCATCTGATTCTCTCCCTTAGCTCTCCAGTTGCCTATCAGCTCTCTGAATCTTGTCTGTTTTGTTCCCTATGGATTTTTATTTAATACCTACAACACATTAGGTCCTCAATAAATATTGTTGAATAAATTAAATAATGAAATTAATTGTGCTTCATATTCTAGTATTTTTCTTAGTATATCTTACAATGTGTTGGATAGTGCTTTGGATAGTGCCTAGAATATAATTTACAATATCTTGGTGATAAATTAGACCCTAAGAATGTTTTAAATATATGATCATAATTAATCTATTCCTCTTTGATCAATGCTGATCATAACTTCAATTTTTTTCCCTCTCATCATAGACGGAAAAGGCGTAATTTCAGTAAACAAGCCACAGAAATTTTGAATGAATATTTTTACTCACACCTCAGCAATCCCTACCCCAGTGAAGAAGCCAAAGAGGAGCTGGCCAAGAAATGCAGCATCACAGTGTCACAGGTGAGAGAGGACCTGATGGTCTGTCCTGTTCACTGATGTAGGAATTCTGTTCCTTCTTTAGGAGCTCCTCATTCAATGTCATATGTAAATTTCTATTGTCAAAGAAGACATGAGCAAAATGTAGATATTTCCACATTTTTATACAAGATCTTAAAGTTTAGATAATATTTTTAAGACCCTAAGCGGCAAGGAATCACTTTCTCAGCCCCCAGTATGAATCTTCAATAGACAGCCATAAACACGCTATGGTGAGTGACAGTTAACACTTACTTAACTGTCCAGTAAATGACATGGACTCCTGGTTTCCCTGACTCAGAGAACTGACCTAAGCTTCTACTAGTAAGAAACCAACTTGTTGCTAAAAGGAAATTTAATATAACTCTTTGGTGAAAACTTTGAGGAATTCACCAAGCCCCTTCTTAGTAACCATGTTATAATGTTTGAGTCCCAAGGATTTCTTTGCTTCCTTCCTTGTTATTCATTAAACAGAAGAATTAAGTTTATGGGAATCAGAATTGTTATTGTTTATTTTTTAATGTCCATTTGTAATCACTGTGGCCTTGAAGTTTGCTTATATCTTCTAGCATCAGTATGTGTAGTTTTAGTCAGATGTTTGTATTGAGAGTTGGTGATACTTTAATAAATACACAAACAACTGTACCTCTTTAAAATATAAGTACAGTCAGCCCTCCGCTGCATTCATACTCAGCATTTACAGACTTTTTTCTTATCATTATTCCCTAAACAATATAATAATTATTTACGTAGTATTTACATTGTTTTGGGTCTTATAAATAAAATACAGATTATTTAAATGTACAGGAGGATTTGAGTAGGTTAAATGTAAATATTGTGCCATTTTATATAAAAGACTCGAACATCCTCAGATTTTGCTATCCTTGGGGAATCTGGATAATTTTTTTTTTAAAAAAATCATAATTAAGGTTTATTGTCATTATCTTATGAAATAGAGCTATATTTTGATTCCATTTGCCTAGTTAGAAATAGAATATAATTGCATTACCAGCTTACAAAGACATACATTATAGAAAATTTTACCATCTGGGTGTAGTGCTTACTGCCACTTGAATTACTGAGTGTAGTATGCAGGCTCAGACAGGGAAACCCATATCAGAAGTATATTTATTTCAGTTGGGTTTCCTGGAGCATGCATTTCCCCCTAGCCATTAGTGAAAGGATTAGGCTCATGCTGAACACCAGGTGAGGAAGCCAGGTCTGGCTGTCTGATTCTCATAACTGCTCTCTGACATAGAATTTGAAAGTTTGTGAATCCAGTTTTTTCCTAGGTGTTGATGAACTCACTAAGTGCTAAGGCTCACCTTGAACTTGTGATCCTTCTGCCCCAACCTCCTGAGTTGCTGGGATTATAGGTGTGTGCCATTATTTTAGATCCAATTTAAATTAAATTGTTCAGCTACTGCTTTTTTTGTTTGTTTCTTACATTTATATATTACGGATACGGAGAATAACATAGATCATATATATTTCTCAAAAACAAGGTAATCTGACTGGACACAATGACACACACCTGTAATCCCGCTGGCTCGGAAAGCTGAGGCAGGAGGATTGCAAGTTCGAGTCCAGCCTTAGCAATTTAGTGAGACCCTGTCTCAAAATAAAATTTTGTGTAAAAAGGGCTGGGGATGATAGATTGCTTTTAGCATGCATGCGACCCTGTGTTCAATCCTTAGTACCATATGCGTAACTACCCACACATGACAGTGTTATCTGCCTTTTTCATTACTGATAGTACCTAACATTTTGGGTGTGGTGTGGGACATACCCAAATATATTCTGGAGTAAGGTAAGTGATAAAAGGTTTCCTTCTGGTTGTTTGTTCTGAGTTAGTTTTACTTCTAAAATAGGCTAGGAACCCACTTACCAAGTGTTTTAAAAATTGTTAGTTGCTGTATTCATTTTTTTTTAAATTGTGATAGGAGTCTTGCTATGTTGTCCTGAGACTACAGGCATATGACACCACACTGATATTTCACTTGTTTTCTATAGGTTAAGTTTTGAACTTTTTGTAGCCATTGCTAAGAAAAAGAGGAATAGAAATATATAGACATAGATCCATTTGTATGTTTAAGAGGCAAATTTTCTGCCCTTATTTCTTCCAGGTCAGCCTTTCAGAGTTTCACCAGTCAGTTTAAGTATCATTTTAAATTGTGACAGTTTTCCTCTATTCAGCTGTTTCCTGCCTTAAAAGTTAATTTCCCTACAATTTCCTCCTCCTATATCTCTGAAGTGGATGAAATGATGTTATCATTTTAACTATTAAAGATATCTTTTGCTAGCCTTATAAATCAATGGCCTATAAAATTTGGTTAGAAATGACAACAGACTTTGTTTCAAACCTAACAAGTCAACTATCTTGAAAAGAGAAAAAAACATTGTTTAAAATCTAAATCATACTGAAGTAGCATTAAATTTAAAACCCAGAGATTGTTTATATACAATCTAACTTTAAAAATACTGAAACATACCAAAAACAAGCAATAGGAACAACATAAGTTTTGCTAGTTTTAGAGCATATGAAACTGAGATTTTATTGCTACTGCTTAAAATACTTATTACAAATAAGTAGGGGAATCTTTGATAGAAAAAGTAAGGAAATATCTTCAATACTTTGAAGGTAGATCAGAATTTCTTAAACAAGACATAAAATGTGTAAATAACAAAGAAAAAGATGGATAACTACAGTGTAGAATTTTTATTATTAAAGTATTTAATTATGGTACAAACATTTCACTAAAAATTGAATCTGACCAGAATCATTAATAGATTTAGGGGGAAATTAGGGGAAAAATAGTTGAAGAACCTAGTCTTGAAATGTCTCTGCATCAGCCTGTATTAGTCATAAAGGACAAGAAGGAAGGAAGGAAGGAAGGAAGGAAGGAAAGGAGGGAGGGAGGGAGGGAGGGAGGGAGGGAGGGAGGGGAAACAAAACATTGCCCATGTGATCAGGATCAGCATCATCAGTGACGGGGCAGGTAGACTTCGGTGCAGTGTTCCACCCAAAAATGTAGCCTAAATATAACCAGTAGAAAAATCACACAAGCCCAAAGTGAAGAATGTTGTATTGAGGAAGAAAGCTGAGAGGGGCATTCTCCAAAAATGTCAAACAGGGGCCATGAAAATGTTCCAGATTAAAACAGGCTGAAGTGATAACAGCTCAGATTGGACCTGACCCCAGATTGGATCCTATACTGGAAAAGGGAAAATGCCATATCAGACATTATGGGATTAAATTTAGTGAAGTAAATTGTAATTGATCATTATATATGGTTATGTGGGAGAATATCTGTAGGCTTAGGAACTATCTGCTGACTGACTTAGAGGTAAAGGGACATGTTGTGTATAACTTACCCTTAAAGTTTTAGGAAAAATAAATGTGTATATGTGTATATGTATGTATATCTTTATAAGCACACATACATATGCACATAGTGCATGAATATGCAGAGATAAAATAAATGAGGCAAAAATGTTAAGAATGGGTGAATCTGAGTGAAGGGCATACACAGCTGTTCTTTGTATTATTTTTATTGGAACCTTTTATGCAGGTTTGAAATTATTTTCTAATAAACATTTTAAAATGTGAAGATACTCATGAACTGCAAGAAGATATCTCTAATATAAACATCAGGATTAAAATCATCTAACATATATGAGGAACTCCTATAAATTAATAAGAAAAAGATGAAGAACATCATCCCCAGTAATGCCCCCTCCAAAGACAACCCTTTTGAAAAATAGGAGAAAGACTTTTGTTAGTCAGCTATGAGTTGCTGTGACCAAAATACCTGACAAGAACAAGTTAGAGGAGGAAACGTTTATTTGGGGTTCACAGCTGCAGAGATTCATTCCTTGTTCCGCCAGCTCCATAGCTCTGAGCCTGAGATGATGGTGGAACGTCACGGCAGAAAGGTAAACTTGGGGAAAGCTGATTAGTTCATGGCAACTGAGGAGCATATAGAGAGAATGAGACACCAGGGACAAAATATAAACCCCAAAGTATGCCCCAGTGACCTACTTCCTCCATCCACACCCTAGCTATCTACAGTTGCCACCCAGTATAGTAGTCCTTTCAAATTATTAATCCATCACCCTAATCCACTCATGAGATCACAGCTCTGATGATCTAATCATTTTACCTCTGACTGTTCCTGCACTGTTTCATACATGAGCTTTCAGGGGACATCTCTTATACAAACTTTAACAGCCTTGAACCATGATTTCCAAAGAAGGTATGCGAATGGTCAATTATATGAAAAGATCCTCATTTTTGTTAGTAATCAGGAAAATGTGATTTAAAAACTGCAATTAAGTAGCATTTTACATCTTCTAGATTGGCAAAATTTTGTAAGTCTAACCATAGCAAGAGTTGCCAAGACTGTGCAGCAGCAAGAATGTGCATTGTTTAGCACTTTGGAAAGTTCTTGGCATTGTCTTATAAATTTGAACATGCACATGTCATTCAACCTTAGAAACTCTTTTGCTTTTGTATATCAAGACACTAGAAAGAGCATTCATAGTAACATTGTTTGAAACGGTAGAAACTTGAAACAATTGTCCAATGATTAGAAAAATAGATAAATACACTGTAATAATCCCACAATGGAGCATTCTACAGCACTGAAAGAATGATCTGTAGCTGAACGCATCAATTCTAGTGAACACTAGAAACATGATGTTGAGTGAAAAATGCAGATTGCAGAACATGTAGTATGATGCCGTTTTTATGAACTCAGTTAAGGAAGCCTTGTGTCAGTTTTTAGATTTAATAAGAGAAGTGTTAAAAGATTAGTTCTATTACTTGCTCAACAAATACTTATTAAATTTTAAAAGTGTATCTTTATTTTTTTTAACAAATAGTTATAATGTGCAAGATACTGTGCTAGGGATAAAAGTAGCATCAGTGAAATTAAGAGGCAAACTTTTGTCTTACATAACAGAATTGTGTATAGTGTTCACCA